GCCTCGAACTCACAGAGATCCACCTGCCTCCCAAGTGCTGGGATTAAAGGTGTGCACCACCACTGCCAGCCCCCCTCTTTTTTTTTTTTAATGTGTGTGGGTATTTTGTCTGCATCCATGTCTGTGATTTGTGTGTGTGTGTGTGTGTGTGTGTGTGTGTGTGTGTGTAGTGCCCCCAGAGGCCAGAAGAGAATGCCTCAGAAAATGTAGTTAGTGCTTCTAACCATTGAATCATTTTTCCAGCCCTCCTGAATTTACTTTTCATTGCAGGTATTTGTCATGATCTGTTTCACAAACAACAACAAAACAAAACAAAACAAAACAAAAACATTCTGACTCTCTTGTGTCATAGCCTGATGTTTAGTATATGTTGTGGAGAATCCCATCTCTATATCCAATGGGTCCCCATATCTCATCTACCTGAAGTATCTAGATGCCATGTTTGATAGAATTTTATTTTTAATTTTAATATTATTTGCTTTTGCAACCGTGTTCTAACCATACTCTTTATTGTGTGTGTGTGTGTGTGTGTGTGTGTGTGTGTGGTTTTTTTTTTTTTTTGCCCTTACATGCTTTAATCCCTTGGGGTCCATTCATGTATGCATTTTATTTACCTCTTTATTGTATTACACTGAATCCTTTACTATCCCTTTTCCTGGGATGAGATGGAATTAGAGAGTCCCGCCTTGTATGTGACAGAGAGCATTCATTCAAGATGGAGAGTCTAAGTAGGATAGATCAAGTAATACTTGGAAACAAACAAAATAGCCTGCCTGTAGTGTATCTGTTTGTACAGCAATGCTGTATCCATTCAAAATTGCTTTAATAGTCAGTTTTCCACAATCTCTCCATTCTTATATTTACATAAGCTATTATGACATCATATATTTGATTAAGAGCAAGGCTGCATAGAAGAGTCGTGGGCAGTGGTGGCGGAAAGCTGGGTTATGTGGACCATATGGCACAGTCAAAGCCCCACCACTTCATTGCTGAGTCTATAATTACAAGCAGAATCTTTAGGAGGAAGATAATTCTCCTGTACGATATAAAATACAAAGCACGGCTTGGTATCTTACTAGGTGCCCAGAATAACTTTAAATAAACACTGTCTCGCAGTTTTAGGGTATTTATGGCTGTGTGTGTAGTTTTCATTAATTACATTCTTATTTCCTATGGCTATATTGCCTTTTCCAAGCCTGTGTCAGTTAGTAGAGCAGTAATGAGCAGTATGTATGGTATGCGTTACTTATTACCAGGAAGCATGATTCTCTATGGCATTCTTTCTGCCAAATTGTATTAATCATATTCAGATTATATAAGAATATTATAAAGTTTGCCCCATTCATATCACAAAGTATTCTCAGTGTGGCATTTATGTGCCAGATCTGGATCTTAAATTTATTTTCCCTGTGATGTTTGTTCTACATAGTCATCGTTTCGTTGACTTTCAATTTCACTGAAGCAGAGAAGTTTGAAAACCAAACATCTAACTATTTAAACCATCTACCCGGTACTAATTTTTTTCCCTGAAAAATTTTTTTCATCAGTTGTTTAGTTCTGTTTTCTCTGTGGCATAATTTCAAGTGTTGGATTTTGGAAATATTTGAAAGAATATGGGGCCACCTGCACCATGACTTGTATGAGTCACCTGGGTGATGTGGCTGCCTCAGTCATTAAGGTAAAGATAGTTCAGTGTGAGCTAAAGCACAGCATTCCAAACATAAGCAGGTGCAGTTCCATTACAGGGTTTCATTGTGTATCCACAGTGTGCATCTTACTCAGTTACCATGTGTGTCTTTGCTTACCTTGTATTCTCTTTCATTCTGTTGCTGTGACATAGACCATGGCCAAAAGCATCTTAGGGAAGGAGACGATTCATTTGGCTTACAATTCCACTGTTAAGAGAAGTCGGGACAGGAACCTTGGAGGAAAGTTGTTTATGGCTCACTCTTTGCCTCATGTTTTCTTATACAGCCCAGGGCTATTTGCCCAGGAAAAGCTGGACTGAAGTGGGCTGGACCCTCCTACATCAATTAACAATCAAGACAGTGTCCCACAGACCAGTTTCTTCTGGACAGTCCCTCAGTTAAGGCTCCCTTCTCAGGTGACTCCAGGCCCTGTCAAGTTGACAATTGAGACTGACTTTAACTCAGACACCTCATTCGTATACATGTTTATACATGTATACACACACACGTGTGTGTGTGTATAAATACACACATATACACGTATACATATATACACATACATATATACATATATATGTATATATATATATCCCTTTTACTTATGCACACATTTAAAAATAACCAATCATATTTATAATAATACTAAGGAAAAACTATCTGATACACATTATTTCCTAAATTTCTGAGCCATTTAAATTAAAAATAAAAAAGTTTTTTTTAACTCGTCAGGTGTGGTAACACACACCTTTAATCCCAGCACCCAGGAGGCAGAGGCAGGTGGATTTCTGTGAACTCAAGGCCAGCCTAGAGGACACAGCAAGCCCTTGGCCAGCCTAAGCCATTAGTGTCTCCATTTCCCCCCTAATTGTCATCAGTATTAGTGTATGGATGTTGGATAGGGACGTTGTGTTAAACTTTCCTGGGGAGTCACAGGTTAATGTCCAGTCACCCCAGATGGGCGCCAGAGGCAGACAAAATGTGGTCTCACCCAAGTTCAATCTCACTGATGAGCTTACTGAACGTTTGTACGGGCATGGGCAAGGGTTTCATGGCAGTTGTGGGGGACACAGAGGTAGCCGCATCACCACAAGGCCTGCCCCATAATGGTTGGGAAGCATCATGGAGTCCTGTCTTAGTACCTTCCTACTTCATATATAGTTTAGCATCTCCCAAGATCACTAGCACCCAAACCTGGGGAAGTAACAGGTGAAGTCCCAGGCAGGATTTCCTGACACTAGGGAACCCTAGTTCCATTACCATGACCAAAGACTTGGCTGTATTGTTCTGCTTTAGTTGCCATGGCAACAGGACACCTTCCAAGAATGGAGTCTTGTTCTAAGGAGGTACAAGCTGCCATACAACAGAGGGGGAGTGGTCTATTGTGGAAGTCAGAAGACACTTTTGGAGTTCATTGTCACCTTTCATCAGAAGTCCCAGGGATTGAACTCAGATTCCCATATATATATATACATATATATATGGGAATATATATTAATAACATTAAATAATACTATAATTATATAATGTTATTTACTATATGTAAATATTTTTGTCTTATGTGCATGGATGTTTTGCACACATGTATGTATGTATGTATGTATGTATGTATGTATGTATACCTTGTTTGTGCATGCCTGGTGCCTACAGAAGTCAGAAGAGGTATTAGAAATGAATAATGTTGGTCTTGCTCTCAGAAGTGCACGAAAAAAACATGAGAACAAAGCAAAAGTAACCTGGCCATAGAATTTCTATTTGTATAAAGGTGTATGTACCATCACCAAGACCGGGCTAGCAAGCACGTATGGCCTAGATGGCCGATGTGTCTTTTATCTCCTAACACAAGAGGGTATCCGGTTATTCCTACTGTGAAGGTTCAACATCACAGTCTACTCTCAATGGACTGATTTGGAAAGTGGAAGGAAGAGGAAAATAAGAGACTTGAGAGGCAGGTTGGCATATAAACCACAGCTCTCATCCTAAAGGAGTAAGATAGTTTATTCTGAAGCCATTCTAAATGACCATGGCCTGGGAACACAAATTTAGGTTACCCTAAATTCCAGGTTACAACATGGCAGCAGTTACATGAAGTTTGTATAGTTTCACACAATAACAACAGCTATAAATCAAGGCAAGTTTAAATTACATTGGTGAATATACCAGAGAGTCAAGTACAAGATGGGGCAGCCGTTCTATAGGTCTAGATGCCGTCTGATGACATTCTTAGCTTTAGCATTGGTAGTTGCTAGAGGTCTGCTAAATCAGTGGGTCATAAGTGGTTTTCATTTCTCATCACAAGGTTCAGATACAGAGTGGGGCAACGAATGGCTGTCCCAGAAGGCTAACAACTAGCCCAGGATAAAGTAGTTTTTCTCTGACCCTGCTAAATTCCATTCTATCTAGAGTACTGAAATGCCAGTGGGTCCATCAGTCTCTACAGACATGGGAGCCCCTTCCAGGAGCTTTTCATTGACAGAGGGAGGAGGGCAGAGAAGAGAAGCAGGCACATGGCCACTAAACCTCTTCCTCACAGAGGGCATTGGTTCCCTTGGAATTGGAGTTATAGATGGTTGTGAGCCACTGTGGATGGGAATTGAACCTTTGTCCTCTGCAAGAGAAGCAAGTGTCATTTGTCTTCCAGCCATCTCTCTAGTCCTAACACATCATTTTATAGGTTGAATGTCACTATATTAATAATCAGAGGGTGGTAAAGACTGCTTTCCATGCCCCACAATAAATAAATAATTTGTACCAATTATAAACTAAAATATATTGTTTTGGCCATTTTTTTAAAACTTAGAATAGTTTGTGGCAACAATGTAGGTTTTATTAGCAGTTTGAATAGGTTTTCTTTTGGGGGGGGGCTTTTGGTAATGTGGGATTATCTATTGCCTGGGGAAAGGGATAAGGTCTCCTGAGCAAATTGGAAGCACAGGGGGAATGGGAAGGGAGGTAGGAAAGTAGGAATTCTTACATTGGAGATATATATATATATATATACATATATATATATATTTGTGTGTATATATCCCTGAGATATAAAATTAAATAGTGTTTTAAAACTATTGCTTTTAGTATGATACCTGAATAAAACTTTCCAGACATTCACTTGGATGGCTAGAGAGATAGGGTCCTCTCTGTCTTTGTGGTTGTTCAGGTTTCTACTCAAGTGAAACCCAGCTACTCTTCTGTGTACAGGTGGTTTTTTTCCCTCCTTACATTGGGGCATTAGAAAAGAGCTATTGTGTTAGAATGTAATATTAGGCTGATTACATAAAAAGAATCTCAGTTAACGGATGCTGTCCTCCTCCCTAGGTTTGCGGGTGACCGTGCTTCTGACATCCTTTCTTGTGGTTTTGGGGACTGGTCTAAGGTGCATACCTGTATCAGACTTAACCCTTAGGAGAAGGTAAGTCCTATTTGACATTTTTACAATTCTAATCTTTTATTTATGCTCGACTTTAAGTCTCTGGTAATGTGATCTGAGAGGGTCACAGGTGTGGAAGCATTTATCCTTTTTACTCTGTGAAATGGTTAACTTAGTTACCTGTCACATGGTAGATGCTGAAGTAGTTGTGGAAATAAAAAAAAATGCAACAAAACAAGTGAATCTTGTTGTTACCCAGGAGCTGTAATAACTATGAGAAAATGAAAAGCATAGCATTCCACAGCTCGCTCTCTCTCTCTCTCTCTCTCTCTCTCTCTCTCTCTCTCTCTCTCTCTCTCTCTCTCTCTCGTGTGTGTGTGTGTGTGTGTGTGTGTGTACATAAAATCCAGGCAATGGGGCTGGAGAAATGGCTCAGAGGTCAAGAGCACTTGTTGCTCTTGAAGAAGACCCAGGTTTAGTATCTAGCACCCACATGGCAGCTCACAACCATCTGTATACCCCACTTCCAGAGTATCCAAAGGTATGCACATGGTGTACATATGTGCATGCAGGCAAAACATTCATACATATAAAGTAAAATAAATAAATCTCAAAAATTAATTTTAGAATGGAGGTAATGGTATAGAGGAGATAAAATTACCCTGTAGGATAAAGAAGTTTTAATTGTGCCCAGACAACCACAGATGTAAATGGTAGAAGAGAGAAGGTCATGCCTGGCAGGGAGGGCTAGGGTGGCTAGAGCCAAGTGAGTGACGTTGTAGGGAAGTATGGGAAGACCTGAAAAAGGCCTAAGGTACAAACAGTGGTAAGTGCTGCATGAATGTGGAACTGGATTCTTTATGATTGTGTGAGCTCCTGTAAAGGGTCAGGGCTTTTTCTGAGCTGGGAAACCACTGGAGGTTTTAAGGTTGGGGTGTCCTGGTTACAGGCTGCTGTATTGTCACAGGGAAGCTGGAGGTCACAGGCAAAATGAGGAAACCGGCTCAGAAACAAGTCAGAGGTCCAGGGGGAAAGGTGGCTGGGTGTTGTGGTAGCAATGATGGCGTGACAAGGTGAAATTATATTTGTATTTGGAGACCTTGCTGCTGGAAGTGCCTGTGTGGCCCGGTTAGGGATCCAGAATGACTCCCTGGCTTCCAGGAGCTATGGGAATGTGTAGCACGATAAATAAAAGACCCAGACACAGACACTGGGGTTCAAGCTTCCAGCTGAAGAGCAGAGAAGCAAAGAAGCCAGACAGTAGATCTTACCTCTACCCAGTGAAACGTCAGCCCTGTCCCCACGAATCCTCAGAGCCAAAGGCTCTCAGTTCCCGTCTCCTCTTTCTTATATTCCTCTCTCTGCCCAGCCATATCACTCCTATCTCCACCTCCCTAGTGCTGGGATTAAAGGTGTGTGATGACAAGTGCTGAGATCACCTTTGTGTGAGCTGTTTCTTTTAGGACTAGATTCATTTCAAGTAGTCAGTGTGGCTTTGAACTAACAGAGATCCATCTACCTCTTAATCCTGAGTCCTGGGATTAAAGGTGTATGCTTGCCTACCACTGCCCAGCTCTGTGGCTCCTGGGAGTAAGGGTGGCATCACCACTGCCTGACCTCTATAGCTTGTAGCTGACCTTGCTTTCTGAATCCTCAGGCAAGCTTTATTAAATCATAAATTACGTATCACCACAGGAACGGGATGGGCGACATAAATGAGAGCGAGTGTGATGACCGAGGTCTGAGGCATACCTAGAGTAGATGACTCTCGAGTCCCTTAGCAGAGATGGGGACAGCGGAGGGGAGGTGGATTTCAGTGACAAGGTGACTTTCATTTAGAACAGAACTTTACGGTTTAAGAATAAGTGCCCAGTTTCTGATTTTCAGGATGTATTCTCTTAAGACACAAATGCTTTGTATTGCCAAAGCCAGAGAAGATCCTGTGGATGTCTGCCATTTCCATCCTTTCTCAGTTGGGTCTTCATTGTCTTTGACACGGTCTTAGGTTTTTAAAGACATTCTACATTTATTTGTTTTGTTTTTAAGTATCCACAGTGTTAAGATACAGTTCAGTGTTAATTGTCATCGAGGCACTCTGAAGATGTCAAGCAGCCTTTGGCTTTTATCCGGCTCTGGGTCACCTATGCTGTTATATCCCAACCCTCTTCATCCTTCCCAGTTACGATTCTAGAAGTAAAGAGTTGAGTCTGCATTTTGGCTGAAAAAGTAGAATAAAGGAGACTAGAACTCATAAAGAAATGTGACTAGCTGGGCTAGAGAGATGGCTCAGCCGTTAAGAGCACTGGCTGTTCTTCCAGAGGACCTGGGTTCAATTCCCAGCACCCACGTGGTGCCTCACAACTGTCTGTAACTCCAGCTCTAAGGATCTGATGCCCTCACATAGACATACATGTAGGCAGAACACCGATTCACATTAAAAAAAAAAAAAAAAATTTGAATAAAGACAGGATGGACTGGATGGAGAAACAGAATTCAGAGATATCAAAACTTTCTTAAAAAGATGGTATAAATTCAATTTTGTGTTCATCTGTTAAGAAAGTTTTCCCCAGGAATAAGATACTATGTGTCCATACAGTATTTTCAAGCAGTATTCACAGTACACAATGCAGCTGTCAAAATGAAAATACTGTAATTAGAGCGTATATTTTTATCTGATAAATGTCCTAGATTGCTACTTTTCAGCATATATGATATTGTGGAAGGAGTGAAGACCTAGAGTATGTGTTTAAATATCACTGAAACAATGGTTTGGCACTCTATGTCTTGTGGGCCTGTCTCTCAAGGAGCTTTTTGAGTTCTGGTCCAGCCTGTTAGAATGGTGCCCTGTACTCTGACTTCTTGAATCTTGACACCTGGAACTCTAAGGATATAATGTATTTTATTTGAATGTCCTAGTGAAAACTCAGGAAAAAGTATTTTTGCTACGTTTTCTTGGTAGCACCATAAGTAAAAAGGGAGGCTCAAATAATGGGTTATAAAGCATTTCTCATAAGCGCTGATGCAAATCTGACAGCAACCAAAAGACACTATAAATGTTCTGCAGCAGTGAATGGCAGTGTACTCTAGTGTGAAGTGCTGTGGGGCATGCTCCGAGAACAAGCTAGAGGGATTTCTGTCCTTAGTCACAGATGTACCAGCCATCCCATAACACGTGCAGTGTTTGTTTCCTTTCCATTCAGGGTCATTCTCATCAGTGCAGGCAGTAAATGGCATTTCCTAATGTGTCAGATAGTTGGAGAGTGCTGTTCTGATAAACAGGTTTTTCTGGAACTAGTCTCCACCTTGAAATGCTTTGCAGCTTGGCAAATTTATCTTTAAATGGCTGTAGTAGAAAAGGTGGTTTGCTCAAAGGCTTTTAGAAGCCACATTAACTATCTAAACAACAATGAGAAGGAACCTATACTCTTGCCTTCCTTCTTTTAAGGAAATTCCTGTTGGATCAAAGACCTAAATATAAAAAACAAGCAGTAAAGGTGTTAGAGAATGGTTGTTTTAGAGAAGCTGAGGGGAAGGCCTGCCAGCTGAGTCACAAATTGTAAAAACCACAAATGAAATGGATTTGACTACATAAAACTTTAGAATGTTTTCATGATTAGGCACACTGTCAAACAAAGCCAAAAGACAAATTAAAAAGTAGGAAATACAACAAATAAGACAAATGGCAATTTCTTTAGTTGAAAGTAATTATTTCAAGTCAATGAAGAAGAGGTAACCCAATAGGAAATGGGTAAGGGACATGACAGGCAGTCATAAAAGTTAAAATGGAGATGACAAAATGGAAAGAAAGAAGTCAGCTCTCTGTCATGGTTAAAAGAAACAAAAGTTAAAGAATAATTAGCTGTCTGTCTGGCATTGCTGGTGTTGGAGCAGTTTAGAGTGTCCCAATTGTAGGGCATTTGGGCAGTATATCTGCTTATAATGTACACAGTCTTCACCACATGCATTTATAGAAAATTAGCCCAATGCAAAGCTGTACCAAGTGGCAGGGCCCACCGTGCGTGAGTGCGTGTGTGCGTGTGTGCGTGAGTGCGTGTGTGCGTGTAGCTTTGCTTGTGATAAGGGAAGGCTGGACCAACCCAGTTGCCAGCCACAAAAGGCTGTACAATTGATTGTGGGCTTGTTTGCAGCTGTGAAAAGGGTAGCCGTTTTGCAGGTGCTGATGTAGACTGTCTGTAAAATGTGCTCCTGAGCAAAGAAGTCTGGTTTAGAAAAGTCTGTTTAGTGTGCTTCTACGTAGAAAACAATGGTAAGGGTGTATATGACAGCTTTGGCAAAGACTGTTCCTAGAAGAAGTCATTGCTGTCAGTTGTCTCTGGGCGAGGAGCCGAGGAACTGCAGGTCTGGAAAGGAGCAAACATTTACTTCTTGCTTTATGTTCTTTCCTACTATTGGGAATAACCAGCACATGTGAATATGGCATAGGTTGCTTTCTGTTGTCGTGATAAACATTGTGACCAAAAGCAACTTGGGGAGGAAAGGGTTTGTTTCATTTTACAGCTTACAGACCACCACTGAGGAGAGTCAGGGCAGGAACTCAAGGTGTGAACTGCAGGCAGGAGCTGCTGCAGAGACCCAGGAGGAGCACTGCACACCGGCTTTCCCCCATGTTCCCATGTTTTTTGTTTTTTTTTTTTTTTGTTTTTTTCTTATAACATCCAGGACCATCTGCCCAGGCCTGGCACCAACTCCAAGGGCTGGGACCCCCCACATAAGTAATCAATCAAGAAAAGGTCCCACAGAATCTATTGGAGTCTTCCCAAATGACTCTAGCTTATATCAGATTGACAAAACAAAACAAAAGCAGGGCAGAAAGCATTGCCTTTTTGACTAAGTAAGTAAAACTAAAGTGTTTACTAAATATGAATGAAAAAACAACTCTTGCCTCAGAGGATAAGATAGAACCTTTTCTGGAGTCAGTAAACAGTCATGGTTAGGACTGCTGATTCAGGTTATCATAAACTATGTATAGAGCAAAGAAATTGTGAATCAAGACACTTTTCAAATATATAATGCAAACATCA